ATCCTCTGGTTCTGTGGTGAAACAGGTGTTTCCTGAGATGGAAACGACGGCTAAACTGGGAAAATTTCAAAAACGGGATTTTTTAAATGAGCGGCTCCAGAGGGACAAACACTTGTGTCCACTTTTGAAAGCTTCAACTATCAGCTGCACCGTGATGACGGGCGAAGGAGCGGCTCCCAGAGGAAACCAGCAGAAACTTGGCGAGATCGTGCAAGCACCACATAGAAGGGACGTTGTTTTCCACGACGTGAACATATGTGCATAAATTACACTTCCGTGCAGTTTTTATTTTGCATGTTTGCGTCTGCGTCCCGACTATTGAATATAGCACAATATTTAACATGTACAAATAAGTTCGCTGTCTTGCTTTATGTGGCTTTATTGGTTTAGTTTTATTAGCTAAAACAAGTTCTGCATGCTTCATCTCAGACGGCTGCAGAGCTACACTGTGTACAGTACATCAGGGAAGGATGAATGCTGTGTGCCTAGTCTTAGCAAGAAACTGGGACAAGACAGGACACGACGGAGCTAGGTGAGACACTGCTGTGTAAATCTTTCAACAACAAAACACAAACATATGCAGACAGGAGGTGCGAGCACATGCATGCGCACCACTGTGCACATGACCCACATTCTCCTCTTAAGAAGTAAAATGCCACGAGTCTGATTACTGACAGAAACACACACATGGGTAGTAAATCAGCTGTCAGCGTTGTGTGCTGCTCAGGTGCTGATTACAGAGTTGAACTGTGTAACCAGCCAGGATGGATGTGTATTAACCTCCACGCCAGCCTTGGTGTATGTGGCACACACATATTAGCTTTAAAAAAATATGGGAAACACACACAAGCCCTCACAGTAAACTCACTACTACTAGACACTCATTAACCACCAAATGCATGCACCCCTGGTCTTAGGGTTTATGTTTACTCACAAATATGCTCAAAATAGAATCAAAACACATCTCTGAGCTCCCAGTTAGGCCGTCATGCTTTAAGAGAAAAAGAGCAGAAAGTGCGAGGAAGCTGACAGTGACAAATTAGTGCTTAAGAGAACCCTCCAACACTGTAAACAAGCTGTGACCAAGCAGCTGCTAAAATGCGCCACATTATTATTCCACATCCACGCTGGTGTGTTTATTCTGGGCGCAGCCGACAAGCTGCCCCCACATGTGGGCAAATATTTGCTGTCACAGCCCTTAGTTGGAAGCGTGTGTGTGTCTGTTTTCATGATTGATGTTGGTGTGCAATGAATGTGAAATATGCCTAATAAAAAGATGAATAAATGTAACACCTTCTCACCTCGCCACACACACAACAGTAACCTTTAAAACCATTGAGGAAGTTTTGGTTATAATAACCAAACATCTCTAAAGTTAGAAATATCCTGTCTCAGAGTGAAAAACTAGTTCATGCATTTATTACTTCCAGGCTGGACGACTGTAATTCATTATTATCAGGAAGTCCAAAAAACTAACTGAAAAGCCTTCAGCTAATCCAAAATGCTGCAGCAAGAGTCCTGACAGGGACTAGAAAGAGAGAGCAGATTTCTCCTGTTTTGGCTTCCTGTTAAATCCAGAATTCAAAATCCTGCTCCTCACATACAAGGTCTTAAATAATCAGGCCCCATCTTATCTTAATGACCTTGTAGTACCATATCACCCTATTAGAGCACTTCGCTCCCGCTCTGCAGGCCTACTTGTTGTTCCTAGAGTATTTAAAAGTAGAATGGGAGGCAGAGCCTTCAGTTTTCAGGCCCCTCTTCTGTGGAACCAGCTTCCAGTTTGGATTCGGGAGACAGACACTATCTCTACTTTTAAGATTAGGCTTCAAACTTTCCTTTTTGCTAAAGCATATAGTTAGGGCTGGACCAGGTGACCCTGAATCCTCCCTTAGTTATGCTGCAATAGATGTAGGCTGCCGGGGGATTCCCATGATGCATTGAGTTTTTCCTTTCCAGTCACCTTTCTCACTCACTATGTGTTAATAGACCTCTCTGTATTGAATCATATCTGTTATTAATCTCTGTCTCTCTTCCACAGCATGTCTTTATCCTGTCTTCCTTCTCTCACCCCAACCAATCACAGCAGATGGCCCCGCCCCTCCCTGAGCCTGGTTCTGCTGGAGGTTTCTTCCTGTTAAAAGGGAGTTTTTCCTTCCCACTGTCGCCAAAGAGCTGCTCATAGGGGGTCATATGATTTTTGGGTTTTTCCCTGTATGTATTATTGTGTGATCTACTGTACAATATAAAGCACCTTGAGGCGACTTTTGTTGTGATTTGGCGCTGTGTAAATAAAATTAAATTGAATTGAATAACCAGAGACGTGGCAGAAGGAGGTGTAATCAACATTTCTATCAATATTTCTATCTGTTATTACTCTCCCTTCTGGAAACCACACAGGTTTATAAGTCTGTCGTTTCATGTCTCTGGCTTGCATCTTTTAAAAAAAATGTTTTTAATCACCGTGTTGTTGATTTTATGAGTTTTTATCATTTTTATGAGTTGGGTTTGAAAAGTGCTGCATAAATAAGGATTAAATTCTCTTAAGAAGCACGGCGTGCACACAGGTATTTTCACATGCACACGTATGTACACTGAAAGGAGGAGAAGAAGAATCTGTTTATCCTCTGGTCTTTGATGTGTCTGTGTGTTTTTATAAGCTTGCAGGCATGTCCATGGAGAGCTATGTTGCCATGAGGGCCTATCAGCTATCAGACAGAGCTGCTACTGGCACAGGTGTATAAACCAGCAGACACGCTGGTCCTGTTTGATAGCTGATATGCCCCCATCAGCCCATCGGTGCAAAGATTAAACAAGGATTGTGACCTGAGCGAAGGCGAACGAGAGCACGAGGAGTGTGCAAAGCAGCAGAAGGGCTGGGTCGCATGCGAGTGGAAAGTATGAGGAGCAACAGTGATTTGTTGATTAACGAAATGAGTAAATTCTGCAGGGAAACAGTTTTTTATTGTGGTGACATTTCTGTGAAAGATGAAGTGTGAGAGAAAAAGCAGTGTGAATAAGTCCAGCCATTTCCTAAACTGAGCGTAATAAGTAATTTTTCACATTTCCTTTTGCTTCTTCCACCTGGAGCTCTCCACACATCCACCTTCCAACATAAGCAGCTCCACTTTATTTCTGGATGTCACCAGAGAGCTTGTTTTCCCCTCGTATATCTCTCCTTACATGTTTATATAGCCCTTTCTTTATTTCAGCTTTTCCATTATCACTTTGATATTTTTGCTTGATGTTTGCCTTGTATTTCTTCTGCAGGAATAAAAACATAAAAACTAATCAGGAATCCTCCTGGTGGACTTACTGATGTCCCTTTTTAGGAGAGCTGCTGAGTGGCCAGTAGCAGGCAGCTGTGGTCAGAGTGGCTCTTACAAAATCTGATTGTGGTCAATTGTGAATATAGAGTCATTTCCCATGTAAATATAGGTTAAAAGAAGCAGTAACTTTTAAAGGACAAAACAAACAGATTGCTATC